AGCAGAGACTATATAGCCCACAGAACCAAACATATTTGCCATCTGGCCCTTACAGAAAATGTTTCTTGGCCTCTGTTCTAGCAGTGTTGGGGGTGGGGGAGCAGCTGTTCGAATGCAGAAGGACTGAGCACTGATGGCTTTTGGACAATCCCTCCAGGTAGAGAAGGGGAGGTGAGAGGCAGGGAGGTGAGGGGGTCCAAGAAGAGAACCTGAGGCCTCAGCAATGAGAGGGGTCAGGATGGAGGGTGGGGACCAATGCTGGCTATTCTTAGGGGAAAAATGGGCAAACATGGTGAACTTTTGGCCATAGGGGAAGAAAGAAAGGACATACAGGAGGTAACTCTTTCGGTGTGGCGGGCCATGGAGGAAGCAGAAAGGATGGGCTTCTGTGCTGTGGGCAACATGGGGAATGCTGCAGAGCGAGTAGCTTTTAGGTAGGAGGAGGAGATGAGGAGACAACTTTGGCCCTGCCCAGCTGAGCAATCCTGGAGGCCATCCTGTGGGAGGTGTCCAGGCTGGAAGCTGGATGTGGAGATGCCCATGTCACTTACCTGAGAGACTGGGACGCTGACAGGGTCTGCCTCCTCTAAGCCTGTGTCCCCCATGCCTGCTGCTGCTCTTGCCGCCTTCCTCCTATGGGACCTCAGCCTGAGAGGAGAGATCAGAGAGCCTTCAGTCTGGGCAGATCAGAGCACAGTGGGCAGGCTGACCCCACCTTTGTTTCCTAATAAGGGGCTGGAGGGGTGACCGTGGTGGCAGAGAAGTTTCCAGTCCCAGAGATGCCAATACTGAGAACACACACACCTCGCTCCTGGATAGGGAGCCCCAGGTTTGCCATAGACTAGAAGCCCCCAAAACAAGGCAGCTCGTGAAATTCTCACTGTGCACCCCTGACCTCCTTCTTGCCCTTGCTTCAAGCTCATGACCCACCCAGTCGCCCCCAGCTCTGGCTTCAGGGACCCTGTTCCCAGCCTGCCCTCCCCTCAAGGTCAATGCTTACACAAAGAAGATGACGAAGAAGGACAGGAAGACCAGGGCTGTGGCTCCAGCTCCGCAGACAGCCCCCAGCGTCAGCCCTGAGACGGGCCGCACTGTGCCTGCAGACGCACGAGAGCCGCTCTGGTGACTCGCCTCCAAGAGCGGGGTCTCTCCTCCGCCCACCCCTGTAGGGCCCTGGGCTCCTCTTCCCCTCCCCCCATATCAGAGGCAAAGAACAGGGATGGGAGGGAGGAAGGGGGAGGCTGCTGGGGGGACCAGTGACACATGGAAGTGCCGGGTGCGCCTGTCTATATTTAAGATTTTGAAATTTTGTTCATCATTGATTTCATTGTGTTCAATTTTATTGTTTAAACAAGATCACTGCAGCACAATATTACTTCCCTTGATTGCTGACTACTTTGTCCTTTTGTCTTCTAAAATTTCGTACCCAAGGTGAGTTCCTGATGTGTCTCACCCTAGTCCCAGCCCTGCAGAGCGAGGACCTTGTCTCCCCAAACACCCCTGTCCAGGCCCCAGCCCCTCCCCTCCAAGGTCCACCTCCTCCCCTCACCCCACCCCAGACCCCTTGCAGGGCAGGAAGAGGACAGTGATGCTCTGGGTCGCAGGGAAGTTCCAGGCCTCACAGCCGAGCCTCCCTTTGTAGCTCAGAGGACTGTTGGGTGGACCCTGAGGGTGCGGCAGGTGTATTCTCCTCCTCTAGATCCTCCCCCACCCACCTGTGTACTCACTCTGCAGGGAGAGGCTCAGGGAGACGTGCTGGGAGCCCAGAGGGTTCTGAGCTCGGCAGGTGAATTCTCCTTCATCCCTGAGGTGCACTCGAGGCAGCTCCAGCAAAAGAGGGCTTGAGGGCTGCAAGGCGTACAGGGTCAGGCTCCCCAAGGTCCAGGTCAGCCTGGCAGGGGGGTTGCTGTCAGCAGCACAGACCAGGCGCAGGGACTGACCTTCCAGGACTGACACAGATGAGCCGTTCCCCACAGCTGTGGGTGCTATAGAGAAAGAGACAGAGGGTCAGAGAGACAGAGAGATCTGAAGACAGGAAGGAAGGACAGAGAGACTGGTGAGGGGAACAGACACATAGGCAGGGATTGAAGTAGAGGAAAACACACACTTTCAACCCTCCCTGTTGGGAATGTAACTTGTACACCCTCGATCCAGAAACACTTGATCATATTTCTCAAAGAAAACTTAGGACCCATTTATTTTTTTTTAGGAATTTATCCCACAGACATACACACAGGTATGAAAGAAGATAGAAGATATTCCTTGCAGTGTGTCGGTTGGTAGGATAAAATAATGCCATGATTTTCCATTAGCATAAGATATATGTAGAATCAGCATCCATCCATGCAATGGGACACCACACAGTCCCAGAGGAGCACAGGGACAGTCCGCACTACTGACTTCAAACCCCCTCTGAGGTCCTGCAGGTGAACAGACCAAGGCTCAGAGCAGCCTGTGTGGACACTGGTGGGTTCTGGGGAGGGGGACAGGCCTCCGAGGACACACCCTGCTGTACATTTGGAATTGTCACCCATGTGACCGTGTCACCCACCCACAAGCACATAAACTACTGGGAAATAAAAAGATGAGGCTGAAGGAGGGTTCAGGAGACGGGTGACAGGGGGTCTGGAGGCCGGTTCCGCTGTGAGTGTCGCCCTGTCCTTGTTGTGGGCCGAGGGGGTGTCGAGGCATCTGAGGGGAGGGAGGGGTCGTGGGGTCACCACAAAGGGGTCTCAGGTGACCGGGGTGAGTCCAGGGTGAGGAGGACGCGCCTGCCCTGGCTGAACAGGCCCTGCTCCCACAGCCCAGGGAAGGCCCGGCCTACCTGAGCCGTCTCCTCGGACGACAGTCACGGTCAAGTTCTCAGGAGAGTCTGGGGCAGAGAGACATGGCAGCCCCACGTCACTGCTGAGGGCTGGGTGGACGCTGGCCTCTGTCCCCAGGAGCCACGTCAGGGAGGAGGGTGGAGCCAGCGTCCTCCTGACCTTCCCCACCT